AAGGTATAAGGTTTCCTGCTTGAGGAGGGACTTGGACGAAGACCTCCGACTCCCTTATTTCGTTATTCTGTTAATATTCTGGGTCTACTAAGTAGTATCATCAGGTACATCTGCGAGTAGAATTGGAAAACATGAAGTTGCTGCCAGTGAGTACAAAGAATACTGAACAGAACAGAATTATTCAACTTCAGGCAACTTGTAGATCTAGCCTAAGAAGTGACTGTGCTAGCTAGGAATTATGTGAGCTACAGCCCAGAATATCCTGATAGTATGAGATTACAGTCCAGGAGGATTCCCTCCTAATGTTTCTAGAGGAAGAGCTATACTTGGGTTTTGGTGGCAGAAATATCAAAACATGCTTATATCATGTACTGGGCAAAGTAGTTTGTTATGGCATAAGCTTTTGATGGATCACAGCCCACTTTATCTTCTGCATAGTTAATAGCAGAAGATAGAAATGTACTCACAGCTGTGGGTGAGGATGAGGGCGAGGGCAGAAAGGAATAAGGAAAGGAGAGATGATACAGAAAAGGGGAATAATATAGAAATAATTGCTAATAGCAATAGCACTTAGACTTATATACTTCTTTACAGTGCCTCTCTAAGCCGTTTACAGAGTCAGCATATTGCCCCAACAATCTGCTCATTTTACCCACCTCAGAAGGATGAAAGGCTGAGTCAACCTTGAGCCTGGTGAGATTTGAACGGCCAAATTGCAGGTAGCTGGCAGTCAGCAGAAGTAGTACTGCACTCTTAACTACTGTGCCACTGAGGCTCAATGATGAAGCAAACGTCTAGGATTGGTGAACCGAATAATTGTAGTACAAGAAGAAAACTTGGTCTGTGTTTGATCTGTGAGAAATAGTGATAATTGAATGAATTGGGTTTTTTAAATTTATTTTTTCTTATCCAGCAGCATCAGTCAACATGGTTGGGAATGGTCAGAAATAATAATTCACAATATTGAGTGGGACTCCCTATTGGAATCATGGATCATTGATGCATTCAGGACCTAATTTAATCTGATTTTACATATTGTCCTTGCATTTGTGATATTAAAGCTTGTGTAACGTGACTCTGTATCACACATTAGTTTTTGCTTGAGGATCAGTAGCAGTGTGGCCATTATTCCTTCTCTTCTGTAATTTGTGTCCAGTATTCATGTCTTGTCAAGTTTCTAACCATATTTGGGGAGGATTACTGTATCAGAAATACAAACTGTTCACTTTTTGTTCCCTCCAGAATTGATGGTTGCCTTAGTCCAGTGATGGCTACCCTTTCCATCCTCGCATGAGCATTTCTGTGCATGTCCGTGTGACCCCCCCATGTGTGTTTATGCGTGTGCATCTCCTGCACATGCCCCACCCCCCGCACATGCACGGCAGCTACCCAACGATCAGCTGGTGGGTGGGTGGCACACGTGTCTGAGCCATGGACCTGCTCTGGGGCAACGGCTCGTGTGCCGACAGAGACGGCTCTGCATGCCACTTCTAGCACGCATGCCATAGGTTCGCCATCCACGGCCTTAGTCTAAAGTATAGATAGTCCTTCTCCTTGCTTTAAAATCAAGAACAAGAGTTTTCACTTTAATCCTCCCAGTCAAACTGCAATGAACTCTTAAGCCCTTTTACCCTGGGGATAATTGGAGGAGCCTGTCTTTCATTAGAGAGCAGAGAAGCAAATGTTTGGAGGAGGAAAGAGAGAGAAGCATAGACAAAATATTAAATCAGAGGTCATCGTTTCTTCCTCTCTTCAGCCTCCCTTTGCAGATGTGTTGTTTTTGCAGTGCTAGTGGCATCCAGCTCTGCCCAAAATGGAACTGAGCAAGGGCTGGTCTAGTGCCTAAGGTTAAAATAAATGCGAGTTAGTTCCACTTCATGATCCTGAACTGCCAGCAGGAGCAGGAGAGACGGGCGTTTTCTATTTAAAGCACAGCACGGAGGGCAGGTTATAAAAAGGAAATCTGTTTTGTAGGCAGCAGCAAAGGGAGGCGGAGGCCAAGTTGGCAGAAACGGAGAGGGGGGGGGAGCTGCTCCTGTTGTTGCTGCTTGGACTCCCCCCCCCCCCCCCCCCCCCCCCCCAACTCTCCTTTGTTGCTGGCAAAGCATGGAAAACCCTCCTGGAATCCTCCTCGGATTTATCACCCCAGACAAGTAATTTTGCAGGTCCTGAATGGATAAAGTGCCTCCTAAAGTGCTTCACATTAAGGGAGAAGGCTCTTGCAGAAAGCACAAGTGGTATTCTGGGATGGATTTACAAAAACCGTTTTATGTAACGTTTTTGGTCCATGATTTTATTTTTATTTTTTTGGGTTAAGTGGAAATGCTTCTGATCCCTGTGAGACTTGAACAACTGCAGAAGGAAAAATGCTTGTAAACACTTCACAGCGCCAAAGCAGGTGGACAACAGACGCTCAGATTTTCTTGGAGGCATACAAATCTATTATTACAATTCCCCCTACCAGCCTTTATATTTAGGAGAGGCAGCTGGAATAAACCATCTCCGTGTAGGTAGAGGTCATCCACATTAACCCCCAGAGCTTGAACGACCAGGAGAGGCTGATCTTTTTTTCCAGATGAGCATATTTTGGGCTATTGCTATTTCCCCTGGTAGGTGACATTATGCTCCTCTGAAATAAAAGTCTGAGGGAGGAAACCCCTGCCCCCTCCTCCCAAGATGTCTAGAAAGAAGCAGGTTTAAAACGCTCTGCAAATGATAGCTGATCTTATTCTATTCCTGCCACTTGGGTATGTGTGCAAAAGGTCTCTGCGTCTGAATGATTTGTGTGTGTAGATGTGCGTATGTGCTGTGACGCATGAATAGAAGCTTCACTGTGGCTGAATAATTGTGAAGTCGGCAATGAAACATTAGATTAATTATGCCGAATCTTTCCAATTTAGATGTTGTGCATGCACGTACGCACACTTACATAGAAACTCATGTTCAGCATCTGTTTAGGACAGCGCTGAATAGAAACGAAATTAGACTTGAGGCATTTTCAGCAAAACAAAACAAAACCACCCACTCCTCCCACTCAAACACCTTATCCCAGTAAAATTGAGTTTTCATATAAACACAGCATCTGCGTAAAAACTCCAGGGCATGAGAAGTATGGGAAATTTTGCAAACAACAGAGTCTCTTAAGATCTGATGCTTTATTTAGCAAGTCTGCCTGAATCAAAGGAAGAAGGGGAAAAAAACCTATCCTACCATTGCCATCCATGGAAAGTAGGCTTTAATATCATTTCCTGGCCCCCTTAATCTGCCCTTTGATGTTTTTTTGGCTGGATTCATGTAACATGCTAAACTTAATATAACAAAGTACAGTTGTTGTATTGGCATAGTATGCTAAGTTGGTACGTCCAAATAAGCAATCCATATTATGGTTTAATTAGGGCTATCATAACTATTATAACTGAGTTGTAGATACCCTTATGACCACAAAATGCCAGTAAAGGCACATCTTATAATGTGCTGAACCATAAATTACCCAATCTTGGTTTAGTCTAATTTAGAATGTTTATTTTTTTTTATCCTACTTTTTCTCCAAAAGTTAAGGACAGTCCATACATAACACTCTGTTGTCCAGTTCCCCTTTCCAAACAACATTGTGCAGTAGTTAGACTGGCCCAAAGTCTCCTAGCTTTCTGTGAGTGACACCAGCCTCTGCATAACAGTTGAATCAAATAGATGGATCACTAATGTCTCCTGTGTGAATGAGATGTAAACTATGCAAAGTCGTCTGTTCTTTATCTTATTCTTTGCTTTGCTTTTCTTTCCACTTGTTGTTGAGGTTTTCCATTCTCCCAAAGCTGCTGCTTTCATCTTCGTCCATTTAGCCTTTTTAACAGACCTTTCCAATGACCCGTAGTCTGGTAGAGCTTGGAGCTGGAAACTAATAAACAACTTTATGGAGTCCAAGGCCTGGCTTGTGTTGTCCTTAACAGAGGATAGGTCTGGGAATTGGACCCTGAGTCAGAAGATTGAGCTCTGTCCCCCACCTCTCTTGACACAGCAGGAGCGTGAATCTCTTTGGTATCTCTTCTGCTGATATCATTTTCATTTCCATAAAACACATGCTTATGTGGCAAGGACAGAGGAAAGACATGCACTGTTTTATATATGGGAAATTGAATTAATGTTGGGAGGGTTAGTCAGGCTCCTGTGTTCTCTCCCCCTCTCCCTCCCTGCGTGCGTGCATGTGTGTGTGTGTGTGTGTGTGTGTGTGTGTGTGAAGGGGAAGGAAGGTAGAAGTTGCATTGCCTACAGTTGTCCAGTGGCAATTGGTGAAAGAATGTTCCTCTCAAATCTCTTGTCCTTTGTTTCCTTTTGAAGAACCAAATTTCTATGACTTAAGACTACAGTATAGTAATAATATTGAGAAATGTTATTCAACTGATTTATTTTAGCATGGTAGGAGGCAGAAACTGGCAGTACAGTTCTTCAATAAATCTGTATATCCATCAGTTACTGGTATTTTTTTTTGCCCAAGTTTTTTTCCATTAAGATCAGCCTCTAAATATGACTGACAATAATACATTACATTGAAGTGGGACAAGAAAAGTGAGGGTCTTGACTTCAGCTACAGTTAGTATATTATGTTCCCTTGCAATTTGATAGCTCTTTAAACTTTTAATTACTTAGGTAACAGAAAATAAATATTTTTGCCAATCATCCAAGTCATAAACAGAATCATAATTCCAAACAACTGCCTTCGATATAGTTTAAAAGTAGCTGGGAATCAGACAGCATACTAGACTAAGAAAGAAATGGGGTTGGGTCATTTGTTAATATGTTGTATGATCCAGGTCAACACATTCAGGTAAAGTATTTCTTTAGGCATAATTTTTATTATATGAACCCATCCTCCCAGAACGTAAGTCTCAGTCCAGATTTACAGAAATTCAGATTTTTATGCATTTCATTAAAATAGCCAAAACACAAAGTAATCTGTTTTTAGTGCCTGTCCTCAGTTTATATATATATTTTCTTTCTTTAAGATCACCTGCAAAGGCTCTACTGTGACCATCATGGCCACAGTGCAGACCTTGCCTTTCTCCATTGAATCTGCCACTGAAGGCGCTTTCCAACTGTGTGCTAGTGCCAGCTCATCCCCTGCAGACATGGGAAGTGTCAGTAGCCTTATTTCAGGCCGGCCTTGCCATAAGGCCACATCTGAGTTTGGTGCTTTCCCCCTGCGTGGAAATGCTGGCTCCCAAGAGCTTCTGTGCCATGGACTCCCTACCAAGAAGAGCAGCTATGCTTATGGCAATGAAGAAGATTGGGCTGAAGCTGTATCCCCCATCAGCCCCTGTAGTGATGCAGAAGACCTGCAGGATGACAAGCCACGGAGTAGCATCCTCCGTGGACCACCTCCCAAATTGGTCCCTGTTTCAGGGAAACTTGAGAAGGTAAGAAAAGGCAATGACCATTAGATCTTTCAGTCTACTCTAGATCAGAGATAGGCTATCTTGATGACTAGGCTCTGAGAACCTATGCTTGATTTGATTATTATTATTTTTTTGGTGGTAGCCAAGGGAGATGATTTCACCATAGAGCTAGAGTTGGAATTTGGGGCCATTTAATTATTTTTGAGGCTTAGTTCTTCCCACACAAATGAAATGGATAGGTTCAGTTTTTGGCAGACGTATTTATTTCACTTGACTTCTATAAAGTAGTGGAGGAAAACTATGTCATTCTTATTCAATATATGTTCTAAGAATCTTTGTGACATGATCCTGAATGTTTGGGGGGACTGCCCCTCCCCCCCCAAAAAAAACCTTTGAGGGCTACAGCTTGCTAATTTCTGATCTATATGACAATGAATACAAACTGAACAGTTAAAAAAAATCATAATGCTCCTTCTTCCACCAGTGGACCTGCCAAACTTTTCCTTCACTGTAATTTTGTAGTGAAAGCAGGTGGTTCACCTTTTGAGAAAACATATAAGAGTGTTTTTTGTATCCTCTGCTTCTGTAGCAACATTGGAGTAAGGAAGATCTGCCATCCAGTCCACACTGATTAAAGAATGTTGTGAGTTGTTTCTATCTCTGTTGGCTGTAAGTGGCCAATTGTGATAGCCTTCCTAGGCTGGGAACTGTTCCTAGCCAGATAAAGAAAATGACACACTATCTGAAACAAACCTCCACCAACCTTGTACGAGGATAAATAGGAGCCATCTTTTCCCTGATGAAATGTGGCATTTCTGCTTGAGGCTTATTGAAAGCGTGTTAAGGGGAGAGGGTTTTAGTTCATTTGTCCTTCCTTCATTAAATTCTGCTTTTTTGCTATTTCTCAGAATATAGAAAAGACGCTAATTCGCCCCACAGCCTTCAAGCCAGTTATGCCCAAGAATCGCAACCTCCCACTGCAGAGCCACTTGGTTCTGCGTCCTGGGACTTCGGTGCTCTCTGAGAGCCAATCCAGCCTAGCCCAGCTCTTTGGTGCCAATGCTGTAAGCACTACTGAGAAGCTCAGTTCTTTGAGCTGCCGTACCAGCTCCCACTCCGGGACAATGTCAGACTCTGGGCGTAATTCCCTCTCCAGCCTTCCCACCTACAGCACTGGGGGCAGCCAGCAAATAGAGCCAGTCAGTATCTCCATAGGCCATGCTAATCTTGACAGCCACGGCAGCGGCAGTTCACGCGGTCTTACCGGCCCATCAAATTCAGACAGTGGGCGGTCATCCTCAAGCAAGAGCACGGGATCCCTGAGCGGCCGTGGGCATCCTTCCTCTGACAGTGGCTCCTGTGGGGGGCGGTCCCCTATGCACAATGGCACGGATGAAGCCCTTCTTGTCCATGAACTTGAAGAGAAGCTGAAGGAGCGTGAAGCTGAGCTGCAGCATTTAAGAGAGAGTCTGGATGAGAATGAGGTGGCCATTTGCCAGGTAAGCTGGGGATGGGAATGAAGGTATCTTATTGCTCTTTCTAATTTACAGGGGTGGGAGGGAATGTTCATTTTCTAAAAACTGCTTCTGCAGGAAAGCTGCCCTTATCAGTGACTGGTAGGCAACTTCCATGTAGCAGCTGGTTTAGGGCTGGAACCGGTTGGATTATATTCAATAGCATGCAGGAAATATGAGCTTCCTTAAGGGTCAGGTAGGCCAAGTGCCAGATTTGTTTTTCCCTTATTTTTGGCAGCTTCAGTGGAGAAAAAGGGTGGGTGTTTACAGCACCGAGTGGAATACTGCTGGAAAACAATCAATCCTCTGTAAGGATTAATATAATGTAATTTTCATTACTGTGATTGGTTCCTCCATTATTAGCTGCTTCAACTTTTATTCCTTTGGTTTTTCCTCCATATAAATAATTCCTGGAATATATCTTATAATTTTATTATTGTTTATGATATAGGTGGGTAATTTTGGAGTATTTCTGCTGAGATCTAATGTGACCTGAGAATGGTTGCATGTACCTACATACAAAATCTTCTTGCCAATAACCTGTTGTTAAGAAGACCGCTGTTGGGCCATATAAAATGTTCCCTAGTCTAAAATCTTATGTTTTAGTGTGGTCAGCTAGAGGTCAGTGTTATAGCTTTGTTATGTGCTGAATAACTCAGTATGCAAAGAATGCTGCTTCTGTTCTTGGAGGTGACATATTGCCATCGTGACTAATAGTGAAGTGCTTCGTGAATTTGTGTAATTCCCTTTTAAAGTCATGCCAGTTGGTAGCTGTCATCACTTCATTTTGTAATAAAATTCAGTTTAGCTAGGTGCTGTGCAAATAAATATTGGTTCCTGAATTTTCCATTGTTCAGCTTCACTGGTTAATCTCAGAGCGGTGTTAGAAAAGATGTAAAACCAGTTTTCCTTTCCAATTTCTTCACCATACAGAATTGTATATATATCTCTGTCTTTCTTGCTTTTATTTTTAAAATGGCCAAATAGATCTCAATGTTGTAATTTTGTCTTTTTTATAAAGAATTGGTTTCACCCTCTGGATCATGTGGCTGGTGGTTGGGTATTGTTGGGGTTTTTTTTGCACTATTTTCATCTCTGTTTTGATTTCTTTCTCAAACTTTGTTCTCTTCCTGTCTTGAATAACCACTGTGGCACTCTTAGATGTAAAATTATGTCCTCCTTTAATATTTATAGTCCAGGGTCTTCCTTAACAGGCTTCCCACAACTTACTATCTTCCTTAGAACTTAAAAGAGCTTCAGGTATGAAAAGAAGTAACATTGACCTCCTTGTTTGAGGCAACTTTTGAGAAGGAAGATCACAGTTATAGAAAGCCCAGGATACCAAGGGACTACAGGTGGTTCTCAACTTACGACCACAATTGAGTCCAGAGTTTATGTTGTTAATTTTCTTGCTACATTTGTTAAGTGAATCACTGCAGTTGTTAAATTGATAACAAGGTCTTTAAGTGAACCCGGCTTCTCCATTGACTTTGCTTGTCAGAAGGTTGCAAAAGGTGATTGCGTGACCCCAGGACACTGCAACCGTCATAAATATGAACCAGTTGTCAAGCATCCAAATTTTGATCATGTGACCATGGGAACGCTGCAACAGTCATAAGTGTGAAAAATGGTCATAAAGTCTCTTTTATCAGTGCTGTTGTAACTTGGAAGGCTCACTAAATGAACTGTTGTGAGTTGAGGATGGCCTGTATTCTGTGGTGAACTTAAGAATCTAAGGAGTTGGTTATATGTCAGTGCTAGTTTCTAACATTGGTTTCCGCCATCTTCCTTCCAGGTATATGAGGAAAAGCAGAGGCGCTGCGAAGAGGAGATGGAGGAGCTCCGCCAGGGCTTCAGTGCTAAGCTGCAGCAATCGACCCAGAAGGCTCAGCGTAGTCAGCAGGTGTTGCAACTACAGATTTACCAGCTGCAGCAGGAGAAGAAGAAACTCCAGGAGGATTTTGTGCAGCTGCTGGCTGAGCGTGAGCTGCTGGAGCAACGCTGTGCCACCTTTGAGCGGGAACACACCGAGTTGGGCCCCCGCTTGGAAGAGACCAAGTGGGAGGTAAGTGGGAGGGATGTTCTTCCGTAGTTTTTGAAGGTCGTGGAACTGAACGTAGGAATGGGGATTCTCATCCTCCCTCCAGCCAGACAATGACAGGTTAGAGAGATTGAGTTTACTTTTCCAGGTGCACCATAGAATTATACTAAACCACCATTTTAAACGTTTTTGCAAATCGGTCAAAACTAGTATTCCATAGACGTTCTCATACTCTTACACACAATTCACACATTATAATAAGTCATAAAATATGGTTCTATTTTGTATAGATTTTTATCTCTGGCTTATAATTCAGTGTATCATAAGGACCCAGCCAACTGTATTTTACTCAGTTAATTGGGATTAAATGAGCAGCATGGTGGCCTAGTGCTGAAGACGTTGACCTCCCACTCAGAAGGTTGAAAGTTCAATCCTAGGTAGTGACAGACATTTCTCTCCTAGAGCAAAAAGGGAAAAAAAAATCTGTTCCATATAGGTGTAAGGAAGGGCCAGTAAATGCTCAAGCTCCATCCCAACTCTACCCTGAACTAAAGTTGTAAAAAGAAAAAAATTGTAATTAAATAAGATGGGTTAATATGAATGCCAGATAAACACACAATTTTTTATAGTATTCTGATAATGGTCTTGGAAATTATGTGGGAAGGACAGAAGAACAGGGGAAATAATGAGAAAAGAAATATTTTGTTACCTTCTTTGCTCTGGAGAAGAACAGGGGAACGTTCATCCCATTGACATTATTGGGTTGCTTGAAGTCTTTTCAATCTCATTCTCTGCTAACATGAAGGCAACTTTGAGTTGTGATCTGCCTCAGCCTTTTTTAATTATTATTCCTGAACTGAAAGGTGCTCTCATCATTCATAGAATCAGATCTTAGCTCTGCTGAACTTGAAATGGAACATTGTGGCATGTTCCCCGTCATCTTATATCTCTTTTCCTTCCCACCAGGTTTGCCAGAAGTCAGGTGAGATCTCATTACTGAAGCAACAGCTGAAGGAGTCTCAGGCAGAGGTCGTGCAGCGGGGTAATGAGCTAGTGTTACTAAGGGCCCAACTGAGAGAAGCACGGGCTGAGCTGCAGACGAGTGAAGAACAGGCCTTGAGTTTGCAGGAGATGGCCCGTACCAAGGCAATGGAGTTAGAAGTATGTGACAATGAATTGGCCAGGCGCAAGAGTGAAGCTGAGCTGCTACGTGAGAAGGTAGGGCGGTTGGAGCACGAATTAGATGCCTTGCGCAGCACTAGTGGAGAACTCTGCCCCCTGTTGGCTGAATGTGATGAGGTAAAAGCTCAGCGACAAGCTGCGGATACCCTGCAGGGTTTGCGTGCACAAACTGAACGGCTGCGCACAGAGCTATTGTGTGAGCGACGCCGTGGGGAGGAGCAACGGGAAGTTTTCCAGGCTGAGCGTATCACTTGGCAAAGTGAGAAGGACAGGGTCATCCGCTACCAGAAGCAACTGCAGCATAATTACATCCAGATGTATCGGCACAATCGCGACCTAGAGTGCCAATTACGCCATCTCAGTCTTGAACTTGAGGCCCGGGACATGGATGAATATGAGCTGCATGGAAGTGAAGGCATCTGCTTGGAAGAGATAGCAGCTACTGAGATCTGAACATGCCTGTGGAAGCCATAGTAAATGGGCCACACTGCCACAAAGGGATACTGGCCAGGCTGGAGTATGTTTCTCTGGGATTTTGTCTGACTGAGCAACTGAGAATACAGTGAGCCTCAGTTCAGTAGTGGAAAGAGATACCTTTCCAGTCATAAATCCCAGTGATAGAACTTGTTCCATCACTTAAACTTGGTCATGAACTCTCAGTAAGTCAGTAGTTTAAAGGCTATTAAAAATAGAATAGTGTGTGAAGCCAGGCAGCTTGTCTTAACTCTAGGAGGTATAGGAAGACCTGGTTAAAGATTTCCTGGCCAATCTAGGAGGAGGAGAATCCAAATCCTTCCTTTGAAAGCAGCAGCAGCAGCCTTTATTCCAGAATTTCACTGGAAATGAAGCAGGAATAGCCTTTGCTTTTGGAAGAGGCTGTTAAATGCTGCTGCTTTTCAAGTCCCAGTGTTAATTGGCTTTCCATAACGACCTTGGGAATCACCGCTTGCCTCTTGCTCTTTGGGCTGGTTGGAGATGAGAGTAGCATGGATGGGAGTGCCAGGATTGTGTAGAGCACTTTTGCCTCTACTCTGCTCCTCTGTTACTTTTATGTAATGACCCAATGGGACAGTCAGCCACCATTTGCTGAATTTGGAGAGATTTGGCTGTTCAACAGCTAATTAGCTGCTAATCCAGTTAGATGCCGGTTTTAGGCTGGCTGAGGAAGCTTTGCCTATAGAAGGCTTTTCTTGGATTTTTAGTCCACTTTTCTGCTCTTATGTGAAGTATATCTTTTTTTAAAGCCAAACACATAAATGCATACAATCAAAACCTGTACTATGGACCCTGTTACTGTACAGATGAAATACATTTGCATTTATTTCCTTTTTTTGCACATGCATCCTGTAGTTATGAAGGCAAGGACCTTTGTAGGCAATTGTTTGGCCAATAGATGATGTGGGCCAAAGAATTGGGGATCTGGGCATTAGTCCAAGCTTATTTCTTTTTATAGGATAAAAATACTAATAAAGTGTACTAGGTTCAAAGCTGATTCTCAGGATTCTAAATTCTGTTATTTTTAAAAGCCAAGAAAGAATTGCGGAATATATGTAGTCCTTCGGTTTCTCCCACATAAAGCTTTGTAGGAAGACCCTATGCTAAATTTCTTTTTAAAGGGAAAGGATATTGACTCCAGTGCTATAGAAACAGAGACCTAGTCTCTCTCTCTCTCTCTCTCTCTCTCTCTCTCTCTCTCTCTCCTTTCCCCCAAACATATTGCTGCATCTATATTATAGACTTACCTGAGAGTAAGACTGTTCAACTCAGTGGGACTTGCTTCTCGATAGGCATGTATAAGAGTGTATTATAAAAGCCAAAGATACTTAAAACAGACTCAGGATCCATTTGGCTATCCCAGGAGCCTATCTCTAGATTATGGCACCAAAATTTGGCAGATAAAATGTTGAATTCAGTGTCACTAGATTTTGTGCGCTTATTTTACTTTTTTTAAAAAATAAATCCAGAATATCTCTTCCCCTCAACCCCCCAAGCCAGCTCTATACCAAATATTTTGCCTCCACTCTTTCTGTTCCCATTACTTTATCATCACTGCCATCATCCCCCTTCTTGAAGGGTGAGTTTTAAAACAAACCTTAAGTAGAGCAAACTTATTTGCTGTGAGGGGATTACTTTCTCTAATTTATCTTTTCTGTCCTTGGTTGGAATGCTACTCAGAGTGTCTTTCTCATGACCCTGACTGCCTGGATATGTCTCTCTCGCCAGTCCCCTTCATCCAGCCTCTACCTGTTTGGCCAACAACATCCATGTCCTGTTTATTTGAGGATCAAAGATGGCTGAGTTTAAATCTCCTGCATTTCCCTGATAGTCTTGTTTCCGTCTACAATATCCTCTCTATTTCCGGAAGCTCAGTTTCCCAGGCATCCAAATTCCCTTCCCATCATTTTTGCAAGATCTGGTCTAGTCTGAACCATGATCATTGTGAAGTCCTACAAATGTTTGCAGGACAGTCCATCCTGTTGGGGTACAGTAACTACTTGTCTACTTTTGTAATCTGTTCAGGACTAATTGCATACCAGAGTATGGTTCCTAGTCTGTGCAGCTGCCTCTCCTTTAAAGCTGTCCATGCATCTGTACTCAAATCAAGTTTATTGATTGCATTTGGATAGAATAACTTCAGTGGGTAACTCAGTCCAGACCTACTGTTGATTTCCTACCCTCATAGGCCAGTGACGACTGCAAGGAGCTCCTTTCAAAGAAAAGGAGTTCTGTTTGCAGAGGGTAATGTGGACCCACCCAGACTTCTACAAAGAAAAATGTAGGGGCTAGTAGATTGTTAATTGACGTCCTCTCTTTGTCTTCCAGTGTACGTTCAAGAGAAAAATGGTCAGTGAAACAGGGTAAATCAGAATTGAGGACCGCAGAAAAGCCATTCCCAAAGGAATTGGGCTGACAAAATAGCCAGTGCTCTCTTTCCTGAAGAGACATGAGACCTCTTTTCAGGCTAAGTAAACAAACTTCCTTGGGGTTAAAGAGGCTGCAGAGATTTGGATCAATGGGTTGAATAAAGGGCCCTCACAACAGGTTTTATATTTTGGTTCCAACCCATGAGAATCAAACCAGACAGTGCCAGGCATGCTCACTAGGTCAGCTTGGTTAGATTTTGTTAACCTTTTTCCTATGGCTATAAAAAAGGAAACTGCCCAGAATTGGTGCTTTGGCTGGGAAACAGCCCAAGTGCAGCATACTGTAGTTTTGTCATCCTATTTAGGCCATTCCGGGAAGAGTTACCATATTGCTAGAATAGAGAGCAGCTGCTTTCTGCTAGCTTCATGTAACTTTTGCTTCAGGTCCTCTTGTTCTTCTTCACGCAAAAATGAACAGATAGAAAAATTTGTGAAGGGTGTAGCCCAGCTAGAGTTTGGGACTATTTGCAAGAGGATGATGGCATTTAGCTACACTCTGAAAATTCTGTGCATTCCAAGAGAAGAGGCAATCTGAGTTCACTTCTGGACATTGTTCCCTTTTGCCCACTGTTAAGAGAGCTTGCAAAATGGGTGTGTTGATACAACACCATTAGACCAAAGGAAAAGCTTGGTGCATGTCAGTTCTATAACTATTAGCAACCTATACCTCTCGCTTAACCCACTTTAAGCACCACTGTATATTTTTCTTTTACTTTATTTCTGAAATTGTATATTTTCCAGGTGGTGTAAATTTCTTGTACAAACCAAAACAAAAGTGTGAAATAAAAAAAAACCTAAGAAATTGTCTGTTTTCTTTTAAGAAAAAGTCACATGTAAATTTGATGGATGGGACAGTGAAACGTGGAAGGATGAGCAGAGGGTGGAATTGTCCTAATGATGGACAAAGGCAGAGATGAACATTTATAACACAGAGTACGCTTAGTAATTTCTCATCCGTGCTCTTGTCCTTGGGTCTAAAAACAAAAACTGGGTCTAAATGAACTTCACCAGTATTGCATTTTTAACTTCCACTCTGGCTGGTGGTGGCATTTTGTAAATAGCTGACAATTGTTCCATGTGAGAAAGATTGACCTGGAAACCAGCCAGTGTTGATCCCAATAGTTACTTTAGCTCAGAAGTAAGAAAACGATAACAATATACTTTAGTTAACCTTCTTAATTAGGTGATAACCAACACAATCTTGAAGATCTGACTGTCTGATCTGGCTTTTAGAGAAGACCACAAAAGCAGTAATTTGATTTTTTGCCTTCTGTATTCCTTGCTGACTTTTATCATTGCAATCACTGAGAGTGGCTTTGAGGCTGGATGCAAAACAGTGACTACCTCTTTGTTTTCCTGGGTGTTCTTTTTGGGATCACTGCCAGTTTGTTATTCTCTCAACAATGGACTTAAGGAGATTCAAGTGAGAATATTATATCCAGAGTCTTGAATTTACAATCTGAGATTCTGGATTATTGTCTTTCAAACTTTATGGTTCACTTACAAATGCATGAGTGTAGGTAAATTTATTAAATTTAATGCTATGGTCCATTACTGAACCTGAATTAACAAATATCCCTCCAGTGATTAATATTGTCCTTTCTTTGTAGTCCTTTCCTTCTGGCTCCAATTAGCCAGAACTGGCCCTATCATCTAGGAGTGTCAACTGGGGTGAGTCGGATTGTCAAAAACAGTATTTCCTTCATTGAGGTGCCAACTCATTTCAAAACAATTGCTCATAATGACAGCTGTCCACTTGCAACTAACTAGTTTTGGAAACAATACATGTTGCTTGACTTGGGCAATATGATCTTTGATCTTGCTTGGTCCTGTTCCAAGCAGGCCTCTCCAGAACTGGGAAATTATTGCTTGCTCCATTAAGCCTGAAAGCTTGCTGAGGGGCAGATACTTCAGTAACTCTGCTAGCAATTGGTTTCCCGGGAACCATATCTTTCTGAACAATAAGCAGGTATAGTTAAACAGATTCTTCATTAACAATCGCATTGCAGTGCTCTGATTGTTGAGCTGACTACATTCTTCAGCATTGACTGCTTGATTTGCAACGTTTATTTGATTTTCTTCGGCACCTTCACCACAATCTCCATGGGCTCCTTAGCTTTGTTGCGGTAGGCTTGGCGGATTATGTCCACAGCTCGCTGGTGTGTTACATTCTGTAGACTTTCCCCCTCTATTGCAACCAGCTCATAGCCAGCCTAGCAAAAACAAAGAAAAGAAGCATGGGACAGAAATGAAAAATGGCAAAAGCACTGCAAATTGCAATTCTACTCTTTTCAGATGTGATGCGTCATCACTGATTACAGCTAGTCCTCGACTTACAACCATTTATTTAGTGATCTTTGAAGTAGAGCAGCACTGAAAAAGTGACTTACAACCAGTTTTCACACTTATGACTATTGTAGCATCCTCACGCTCATGTGATCAAAATTTAGGCGCATGGCAATTGGCTTGTATGTATGACGGTTGCACCATCCTGGGGTCATGTGATTGCCATTTGTAACTTTCCCCGTTGGTTTCTGACAAGCAAAGTAAATGGGGAAGCCAAATTCGCTTAAATGACCGCATGATTCACTGCAAGTGATTTGTTTAACAACCATGGCAAAAAAAAAAATTGGGTTGTAAAATGGGGTACAACTCACTCAATCGCCTTGCTTAGCAACCAAAATTTTGGACTTGGTGGTCATAAGTGTATATATTAGATATGCACATGGGAATTTTGAAGCTCTAATATTAGTGAACAGTTCAATAATACTGATAGCATTGCTGAACCTTCCAGTATTTGTATAGCAATTCAAAGAGAGACATAACTTTTGCACATAGACACTTATTCTCAGTAAACCTTTGAAGGCTCCCCATTATCCTGAGTTTCTGCAATATTTTAAGTAGGTCATAGATCGTAACTGTTCTGCATGTCATTTTCATAATGGATGGATTACCCTCCAATGTTGTTGGGTTGTTTTACATTCCCAACTGGAACACTACATCTTTCATAAGGGATTTTTAAAAATCCCTCCCAATATAATTGAATGGCAGAAAAATATTTTAAATATTTCAATGATGTAGAAATGGGTCCAGCAGACTCTTAAATTAGATCAAGATATATTGGCATTGCTGGGTCACTAAGATCCCAAATTGGATCTTCTAACCTGTTCTCAACTCCTAATCCATACTCTCACTTCAACCGCAGGTAAATAAGTAGGAAATTAATGGCAGGGCTGTCAAACTTCCGGCCCATGGGCCGGATGCATGATGCGCTGCCATGCCCACACCTGGTTTAGCAAAGGAAAAAGGTCCTGATGTGTCACATCCCTGGTCTATGGAGCTTCTCAGTCATCCAGGTCATGGTTGTCCCAAAGGTGTTTTTTCAAGAGGCAACTGGACTTTTTGGTTTTTCTTTGATGATGTCTTGCTTCTCATGCAGATGTTTCGCTCTTATCTGGATGAGAAGAGAAACATCTTAAAAGAAAAACCAAAAAGTCCAGTCGCCCTCTTTAAAAAAGCACCTTTGGGATAGGAAATTAAGGGTTTTCTTAGTCTTAATTTCCATAAATTTCTTTATAGATATATTATTTCCGGAGCAAGCAGAGAAGACAACAGGGTTAAGGATTCATGGAAATTGGCGAAATCCTGTTAGGTACAGGCCTTCATTAACTCAAACCCTGATGTTTCCATTCAGCTGCAAGTCTGAATTCACGGAATAATTGCATAAGCATTTACAGTCTGAAGCAAGAGGAAAGCTGCAAGAAGTGCCTGCAGCCGTTTTCTGTACTGCTGAGAACAGAAGGAGGAATCTGCTCACAGATGCTTGAGGCTTGAAAAAAGGGTGGCAAGGCTTGAAACTGGGTTCAGGAATAGACTGGATACCTGTAAAGTCTTTAAAACACTAACATTACATGACCATATTGGCCAGTTCCTGTTAATAAGTTAGAAACTCTGGGTTTCTAGTGAAATTTTTGAACCGCAAAGGGGTTTCACCTGTGTTTTTACTAGTCACTCCCATTCTTATCTGCCCTAGCAACCTAAGACCATTTGGAGCTTTAATACAAATCAGCATTAAACCAAACCTGTAACCCCTAAAGGAAAGAGGCCCCCAAACAGAGGCAAATATAATTAGAGCAGCCTGGTGGGCGGGCTGGCCAGCCAAAGCCCACAATGGTTCTTTGTCAACCCCTGCTTCATTACAGAGGTCTTGGGAAATGTTGCACAGTGCCTTGAACTATGAGGGACCCTGAATGGCACAATGGGATGTGTATGTTGCTAGGCCTTTAGCTACAAAGCACAATGAGGTTTGTTTCGTGTAGGGTAGGAATCAGTTTAAATGAACAAAGTGGGCCAGGCTGTGGTATGAAAGAATGGCAAAGTCTTCAATGCGGTGAGAAGAAGGAGGGAAGATGGTCAATTGTCCTCTTTAGTCCTTCAGATCTGAATCTGCATAAAGCTTTGTTCATATTGTGATCATCTTCATCCTCATTCTTCAGGTCTCTGGATAGTCTAGATAGCCCATATTTGTTGTGATTACAGTATGGAAATTATCTCACACTGAATAATCAAAATAAAGATGGCAAGTTGTAGAGTCACTTTAAACCAGGGTTGTCAAACTCATGGCCCACATGCCGAATGCATCACGTGCTGGCCCTGCCCACGCCCCATTTAGCAAAGGAGAAGAAAGTCCTGATACGTCATGTGATGCTGCTGTGATACCGCGAGTTTGACACTCCTGCTCTAAACTCTACTAAATTGATCCCTCAGAAATCAATTGCTTCAGAAACAGAGTTTCTGAAGCAATTGATTTATGCAATTAATTATTGCATAATACTATTATTCATTTATTGATTAAAATTATTTTGAAAGGAAATGAACTATGCAACACTTGGAGAAACTCAAGTCTTTTACCGTAAGTTTGCAAGCAGGTGATTAAAAATATAATTACTAAATTATGTGCAAGACTTAAACCTGAGTGATGGGTTTAAGTCCTATATAAAAATGAATGGCTGTTGCAATGGGATGTTGATCATGGTCTTAGAGCATTTGATTAAGTTGCTGAAGAAACAAACAAGGGGCATCTGGACCTCCTATTTGTCCATCTAGTAGCAGTGAGAGATCCCCATTTCCCCCTCCTTACTGCTTTAGCTACCTCCAGTTCTCCACTCAGGGATGCTGCTCCCCCAGGAAATATCTTCTCAATCTTCACCATTGGCTGCAGTCTGGATTCTATTCCTCCTGAAATGCTGATGCCTGGAAAACAAGACAGTGCTGTTAGTATTTAGGAAATGGTGCCATGTTTAAGCTTGCGCAAATCCATCTTAAAAATAGAATTACACCAGTCTTAAAAGAAAGCACCCTGCACATCAAACTTGGCTACTGATGACTTCACCAACAAGCCTGCATAGATTTATTTATTTTTTGCAACAATATGGAAATAGTTTGTCACTGTCTTCTTCCAGGATGTTTTTTTAACATATTCTGATCTGGGATTTCCTGGTAGTCTCTCAAACAAATACTACTCAGGTCAGACTCTGTTTCCTTATGAGACAGCTGTCAAGGTCAGAGTAATGTGTAGTTTAA